ACTATGCATCCCCTACACCATCGCAGAAAGCTTAACCCAAAAGAGGTGCCCTAACCCCCCCCCCCCCCCCCCCCCCCCCCGCAACCCTCCCAAGGGACAGCTGAACGACAAGTACAAATTGCTTCCGCCAAAAAACAGAGTGCTTCTACAGAGAAACCGTGGTCGGGACCAACGCTCTCACAAGAAAAGAGTCAGAATCGAAACATCAAATGTCCTCCTTTTGCTTGTTCGGTATGCCGGTCAACTGCAGTGGTGCATGGGGGACTCGAACACGGGCCCTAATGAATGGCTACGGCCTCGTTCCCCGGCCACAGCAATGAAGCACACGCAAGTGAAAGAAGGCGGGAACCTGGACAGCGATGCTGGCCAGGTTCAAGAATGTCGGTGCAATCGGGCTGCACAAACCGTGATCACCAGCGGACGGCACAGCACGAAGGCGGAGACGCTCTTGTACCGGGTCCGCATCACCGCCGATGGTGGTGACTCGCCTGCCCCCAAACGCCACGCCAGTCTGCAAATAGGGGATCTGCATGCAGTCGGATTCCTGAACTTCGGACCCCAGCGTCAACCCCCAGTCTTCAATGTGAGACGGTCCAAAACGATCGCTGGAACCAGCCATGTCGGGCACGTGTATGTCGGCACTGAAGCAAGGCCATGAGTGGAAGATGTGCCTTGTGTGCGCGCGCATGTGTGTGTGTGTGTGTGTGTGTGTGTGTGTGTGTGTGTGTGTGTGTGTGTGTGTGGGTTTGGTATGTGTGTGTGTGAAAGTGTGCATGTGCATGTTCACACTCTGTCTGTGGGTACTCGTGAGACCAGAGAGAGTACGGGTGGTGGGTGCAGTGTGCAGCTTGGAACTTCACACGAACGGAATAATGCACGTAATGGTATGGTAGTTTTCTTTACCACAGAGAGAGAGAGAGAGAGAGAGAGAGAGAGAGAGAGAGAGAGAGAGAGAGAGAGAGAGAGAGAGAGAGAGGCTAGAGCAGTAGAGATGTGATGTCCGGATTTGCTGAATGAACGTAGTCGGAGTCCGCGTGCATGTACATGTGCACGGTCCGTATAACTTGCCGACGCCTGGGATATGACCATGGACGGGGAAAAGTCATCTCAGGGAGGTAGCCAGTGATTCACATGAATGTGGACATCATCACAGCTGCATTCAGAAGTACCAGATTCTCTTTTCGCTGAGCGTGTGAAATGAGGCGGTACAGCCATTTGCCTCATACGGTAAATAACAATTATAATGGGTATAGAAAACACTCTGACGCAGACAATAATGACCACCAAAAAAATAAAAAATTTTCACATATTGGCCGCAAGCTTCGGAGCGTTGAGCTAGCTGAGACGCAAAAACAAGTCAGCTAGCTCAACGAGAGAGGGCAAGGGTAGGGGGCGTTACATTTGAGAGGAGCTATTTTTCCACGGTCTCTCTGAAACGAAAAAAGGCTTTTTTCATTGGGCATACACACTTCGCATAAATCGACCATGCGATTTTAAGGAGATCTCTCGCATCTTATGCGTCACGCGGTGTCACTCATGGTTAAAAACTCACGGTCGGTTTATGTGAAGTGAGTACGCCCAACGAGGAGCTGGCTCAACAGCGCTGGTGGGACAAGGTCCCTACAAACATACAGAGCCTCTGGGTACACATATACACACATCTATGATACCAGGCTGGGGGGGTCTACGAGGTACATGACGGGGTCTTCTGCCGCCTGGCTTAACTCTAGGGTAGGGCTAGGATATAAGTCGCTCCGGCTACCATAGTCTGAGTTCTGCCTAGCCTTGGGTACGTTAGGGGAACGATGGTAGGATGTGTCCGTGGGCGCCAGCTTGCCTAGCTTAGGCACTCTCTGCTGGGTAGACTCACTGAATTGGGCCTGTAGAAGATCGCATGAGACTGGCGTACCGAAGTTCACGCACGGCAAGGTCCGTTCGCGTCCGCTTCCACTAGGGCTGGGGGGCTGGCCCAAGCCTTGGTGCTTGTCGCTGCTGTCTGCTCGCAGTTGCCCTCTATACTGGTAGGGTGATGGTGGTCCTGAGTGCTGGTCACACTGAGGTAGGATAGTAGGGACACGGGGGTGCGCTAGGAGTATTAATGTGGGGATGGGTAGGGTAGGTGGCCTGGCTATCCCGTCAGGACAACCATTGGCTGCCGCTGCCACCAATCACCGCGGGTCTGGTCCTTGGCCTCTACAACATCCTGGGCTTACAAAAAAAAAAAGAAGAGTATAATCACACTAGGCCCTCAAAATCACAAAATCGCAAAATGAGCGGCCAGATCGAGTCCTTCGTCTAAAAGAACTCCATCTGGCCAGTCATTTTGCGATTTTGTGATTTTGAGGGCCTAGTGTGAGTGTGCCCTTATTGTCGAGGGGCAGTTCAGAGAACGTTTTATCTTCTTCTTCTTCTTCTTTTTCTTCTTCTTCTTCTTCTTGTTTGATGTATTTATCAATACAGAGTATTCACACATCACCTCCCACACATGCAGAATCTGGCACAAAAACAATAGAGTGCCCATGCTCGTGCAAGAGAGAACAAAATACACCCACACAACAGACACACACACACACACACACACACACACACACACACACAGAGAGAGAGAGAGAGAGAGAGAGAGAGAGAGAGAGAGAGAGAGAGAGAGAGAGAGAGA